ATAAAGCCCTATTTTCAAGGGTTTATAACTTGGTTAGAAGAATTTTGTTTCTGGCAAAAACTTTGTTGGGGCAATGTCTCCATCTAAGATAATTTATTTTAAATGTAAAGCACAAAGAAAAATGTTACCTCTTCTGAACCGAGTAAGGGAGAGACTAGGAACTTTCTGGGGTACAAAGCTAATACTGTCTTGGCTGATTGAATTTGTGCCATCTGTGAATTCCTAAGACTGTATTCAAAGAAGTTATCTCTTAGATGAATTTAGATGATTCCTTTACAACACAAGTTTCCAATTACTACAACTGAATTCAAGACCTGGAATATTCCTCTAGTGGCTGTAATCAAATCAGGTTTGATTTCTTTAGCTGCAGTCAGTCAAGAAAGAATTTAGCACACAGCATGGAAAACAGCTTACATGTTAAGAAAACTTCGGTGTCTTCAGATAGCTTTCCTGGGTTTTTTTTTTTGTTGCAGGGAGGATACACATCAAGAATGAGTGAAGCTAATGCTCATGCACCAAAGTGAGTATTGACAGCAGCAACATGGAGGAATTGCTCTGTCATGGCCGAGCCACGGTGAAATATTAAAGAGGCACTGAGTTTGTCCAGATGTGCTGTAAAAATGCCCAGCAAAAGGCACTGGTGAGACTGGGAGGGCATAGGGAAGAAAGGTCACTGCTTCACCTACATAAAAACACGAGCAGGTGACCTTTTGCCTGTAGCAACTTGTAGATACATCAAGAAAGCCATGAGCTCTGCCCAGTCATGTCTGCATGTCGGGAAAGAGCAAGACGCTCAATAAGACAGATCAACAAAATCATTGCGGCCTTTTTCGAAAGCAATAGATATTAATGAATGGAAACTTCTGGGCAACTTTTTTTTTTTTCCTGTTTTAAAGTAGAAAGATTAGATGAAAATGTATTTTGTGAGGAGTGTGCTGACACCCTCAGGTAATCTCCATCCTCTGTCCTCATCAATAATCTAGCACTCTACCTTTCCCTGTTACATTACTGTCTGCAGTAATCCAATTCACTTCGGTCCCCTTAGATCCTATTAGAATCTCTCACAAAATTCTTCTAGCTCTGCTCTATAGTGTTCTGGGATTATTTAGTCTTAACTTCTGCTGCCTGTTTTCCTTAACTACAATTCTTTGCACAGGGACTAACTTTTGTGGATTGCACATTTAACCTCACAGTGAGTCAGAAGATCAAAATTAATGCAAGGGAGTATTGTCCAGTGGGGTCCCCAGAGCACCCTAATTCTGTTTGGAACACTGTTGAATATACCATGTGATAACAAATTCCACTATCTAAAGTACTTTCTTCTATCAGTTTTGATTTTGTCATCTTTTAATTTCACTGCACGTGTTCTTTGAAAGGATAAATAGGCAAGTGCAAACAGAACTTATTTCTACATATTATTCAGTCCCTCAGGTACATCCTTTGTATTACATCTTATTTTTCTCCTCTCTAAAGTAACACAGTCTTAATGTTTTGTTTGTTTGCCTTTTTAATGTGGAAATCTTACCATATCCTGTAATTTATTGCTGTTATTTGAGCAAATGCCTTCCTGGAATTCTCCTCAGTTATTAATGGTAAGTCAGTCATGCTCAATGATGATATCTAAATAACAGGCTCAACGTGCAGGAACAGAGATGTCTCCTCTGGCTGCCTGGGCAACATCAGGGGCTCAAATTAGGCAGAAATGGACCTCTGACAATATTCCTAAGAACTGTGGCAGAGAGTGGCAAACTGTGGAAAACTCCTTTATTCTCTTCACTCTGATTGCCAGGATGACTGTGAAATACCACTTTGCACCCAGAGTTCTGCTTCCTAAAAAATGGCTTCTTGGCTGAAAGCAAGCCTCTGACAAACGCAGTGATGTCTGGCTTGCTCTCTGATCTCCAGCCTGATCTGATCTAATTCTGTCTAATCCCTAGTATTTTTTAAATTCTGAACTGTACAATACCCACTGTTTGCAAACCTGACTCTTCCTATTTTCCCACTTTACCTATTTTGTAGCATATTTCAATACACTGAATCTCCTGATGCCTGACCATCACAAGAACTACAACAATATGATATAAATCTTTTGGTAATTATCTTAAACCAGTGTAACTTCAATCTTTTGACAGTTGCTTCTAATTTGCAGTGGTAGAAATAAGAGCAACATTGAGCATTTTGATGACATCACAGCTCTTCTGTAGCAGCCATGTTAGAGGGCCCACAGGACAGGAATAGCTGAAGCCCATAACTGGAGTAGATTGTAGAAAAAAATAACACAATGCAGACAAGTTATTCAGAGTCTTTTAATACATGGAACTAAGTATAAGTAGTATTAGAAGAAGATTTACTGCTGTAAAAGCAATGGAATTAATGTGCTTTCACAGCAGGGAAATTTTACAGCAGTTAAAATCTCAGATCTATTATGGAAGCAGGCTTTATTTTTTTTTTTTTTTTTTGTTTTTTTGGTTAACAGTTTTTTTTTTATTAGAAATGTATTTTTTTTAAAAGTCAGGGTTTTCCTTCATTGTTGCCCAGATTCCTGCATTACTGTTCCTGCAGAAAAGGCTGGAGAGGAAAGGACTGCAGCAGCAGCAGCCTTTCTTCCCGAGGCCCAGCAGGGAGAGGGGGCAGAAATTCTGCAGACCAGAAGGTTTGCCAGGGAAAAGCACTGGAATTCATCACTGCCTTATCACTTTGGAGAAGCTTTCTGTCCTGCCTTGTGCTCCTTTTTCAAGGGCTATAAAGTACTTCTGTTCCAGGGCACTGCACATGGATATTAAATTCTCATCACAAACATGATACCATTTTTGATTTCAGCATTTATCTATCTTCTGTTCTTATATGGCCACACTTACCATAATATCTCATACTTCACAATCTTTAACACATTATTTATCCCTCCAAAAGGCATATATATGAAAGGTAGCTGAAAATAAGCAATAAACCATTTTAATACTGTTACCATCTGAAGCTATGGATCTGTGAGAATTTTCTTCTCATTAACTCTGGAATGCTATTCATAACCTTGAGACTGATAATGCTTAGAAAATTATTTTACCTAAGAGTAAGCCCCTCCTCAATATATGTACTAGAAGTCTACAGAGAATTTTCCAGGCCCCAAACACAGATCCTCCTCTAAAACAAAAACAAAAAACCAAATCAAACAAAAAAAACCCAAAACCAAAAAACAACCCAAACCACACTCTAAATAAGATCCAAAGCCACCTAAACAGAAACAAACAAAAAACCCTCCCCCACACCTTAAAGCTGTTACAGAAGTCACATTAATGAAAACAAGGCCTGCCTTTCCAATCCTTTATTTATTTTAAAAGATTGGTGTCAACTATTAGTAGTGATATTTAATCCATCTATAGATTTCACTTTTGTCTGCACTGGTCTATCATGTTCTTTGCCATTTCCTTTTAAATAAATAAACAAAACCAAAATACAAAGAGATATATCAAAGCATTTTGACAATGCTGTTTCTTTCCAGATCACTTAGCATGATTTCTCTTTGAAATTGTAAAATTAAAATTAAAAAAGCCAAGGGATACATTTGAGCCACTGCTTTCTTTTGGAAGCAATTAAAATTTTCTGTCCTCTCTACAGCTGTACTTGGGAACCTGGAAAGAATATTTAAAGCCCGAAATCCCCTCAAGGTCTGAGGCTGAAATAACTTGCACTTGCCAAGACAGAAATCAGACTATTTTGGTATTGGATGGCATTACAAATACTCTGAGAACAACTGAGCAGCAGAGACATTGGGGAATATCCTTGGTATGACCAAAATAGTGAAGATCAAGGATACAAATCTGAGTTTGTGGGAGGGTTGCAATAAACAGACAGTTTCAGATATGAGTGTGCAGACAAGTCTTCAAAGATGGCACCAGCAGAACATACCCTGTGCATTGTGTCTCACCCACAGAGGACATTAAATTGAGATACTTGAGTCAAAAGGGCCCAGATCCCTACAATAGGATGCAGCTGAATTGCATCAAGAGTAAAAGAAAAAAATTTTTTAAAAAATAGGCTGGAAATCCAGTGCTTTTTAGCTACTTAAGCCTGGAGATGTATAAAACTTGGTTGAGATCCCTCTGCTGAAGAGAAGGCTCTCTCTGCACCTTTGTGCAGGAGGACCATGAAGCTATAGGGATCTGACATATGAAGAAGCTGGAGGAATCTGACACATCCTGAGCTTCACATTCCTCCTGGATGTCCCAAAGCAGCCCCGCGACCTACCTGGTTCCTGCCCCACTCCGGACACTTGCGCTTTCACACCAGCGCTCCATCACCCATCACTGTCACTGTCCGACCTGCGGGAGGCAGAGGCTGGACATTGTATTTTATCGACTATTTATGGTATTTTATTTACTATTCATGGTACTATTTTATCTACTATGTATGGTACTTTCGGTACACTCCAGCAGCCCCCCTGCAGCTCCACAAATCCCTGCGGAGAATGCCAGGACGAGCCAGCCAGAAGTCAAGAAGTGGGAAGGTGGGAGAGCCAGAGAAGGTTCTGGGACGAGCAGGGATGAAGAACAGGATTAGTGAGAGGACAAGAGAGTGTACTCTTAAAGTGGACCAGGGGACTTTTAGGTTGGAAATTGGCAGGAATTTCTTCATGGGAAGGATCATTAAAGACCGGAACGGGCAGCCCAGGGCGGCAGCGGAGCCACAGTCCCTGGAGGCGTTTAAGGAAAGACGGGACGTGCCGTGCTTTAGCTGAGGCAGCGATGCTCGGCCGTAGGTTGGACACGGCCACCTCAGCGATCTTCCCCAGCCTAGCTGATGCTGTGAGGGCAGGAGGCCCTGTGGAGAACAGGGAGTGCGAAGGGGAAGGTGACATGAGCGCTGTGGGGCGGCCCCTCAGCACCGCAGCGCCATGGCGGCGAGCGCGGGCGGGGACGGACAGAGGGAGAGGCGGGGAGGGACGGGAAGGAGGGACGGGAAGGAGGGAGGGGAAGGAGGGAGGTGGGGGAAGCCGCCCCGAGGAGGGCGGAGCGGCCGCCGCGGGCCGGACGCGCCCCGGTTACCGGGACAACGGCGTCGGCCGAGCCCGAGCGGCCCGGCACCCGCGGGCCCCGCCGGCCGCCCACCCATGCCGCGGAAAGCGCTGCGCTGCGGTCTGCAGCTGGAGCTCCGCTCGGTGAGTGCCCGGGCCGCGCTCCCCGCCCGCCTCGGCCGGCGGCAGAAGCCGCGCTTCGCTCTTCCGGCATCGCTGCCCGCCCCGCTTTCCTCGGCCGGGCCGCCGGAGCTCCCGGCGCCGCCGCGGGGCCGCTCCGCCCGGCGCTCAGCCGCTGGGTGCGGGCATCCTCCGGCCGTGCCCTCCGCAGCCCCTCCCGCTCTGCCGTGGCACGTTGTGGGGGTGTTCGTCCCTGTGCCCCCGCCCTTCCGCTGGTGCCGCTTTGGAGTTGTCGTTTTCCAGTGGAAAAGGTGTTTTTTGAGACGCACCGATTCTTGGGAAGCTGTAGGGTGTAGGGGAAAGCACTCTCGAGAGGGGAAAGAAAAAAGCTAAAAGCAAAACAAGTCCCAGGAAAGAGCGGCTTGTTCACGGCTCTGGGCAGCTCTGAGTATCTGGGCGTTACATGGCGGGGAGTGAGTTAGAAAGTGTGAAAGTGGAAAGTTTTGACATTAATTATGTTAGAATTGTACTCTTTGCACTTTGCAAAGTTTTCTGCTTATATCCAAGCTGGGAACACAGCGAGGAGCTGTACCATGCTCCTGAAAACTTTGCAGAAGTAGCTGTGTTAGGCAGTGCCCCGTTAGCCTGGAGGTGGTGTCTTCATGTGTCCTGGTCCTGTACTCCAGAACAAGCGCTGCCACATATAAAATAATAGCTGCTGCTGAGAGGAAATCACCGATGCCATCCACAAAACTCGAGTGCAGATCCAGGAAGTCCATACTGGGAAATTGCCCAGGTATCCCTGGTTGCTTAGCTACCCTTGTTCCCAGCCTTGAGCGGCTGCTCCGAAGCAGAGCTGTGGATTCGCGCACATGGATGGCCAGGGTGTCACCCTGGCGGTGTTGCTTTGCTGTCTCAACAGCTGGTGTTTGTCCCCGCAGTGCCAAGGCTTGCTTGGACCCTGGAGCAGGGCGGTGTGCTTTCCTTTTCTGTGCCCACTGGCTGTGAGCTGTTCCTGTGCCAGGAGCGAGTGCAAGGAAGACATTTCCCCAGGGTCAGCTTTTCAGGTGTGGGGTATTTGTTATTTATCCTGCTCTCAAGGCTACAAATAAGAATGGAAAGAGGCTACTCTTACACAAATGTCAACACTGTTCTTTTCATTTAAGGAGTTTTTTTTTTTTTCCTTTGGTGTTTGCTCCTTTGATGTGTTTTTTTGGCAGCAGGTCTTTCATTTCCCAGCTGATCTTTATCAGCTAAAGCACCTTGGTATTTTTGGTAATATTTTGTATGATGGACTCACCAGCCTTCTAACCATCTTAGGGATGGGAGCTACTTTTCCAGTTTGAATTTGCATTGGTCAGAGTGAGAATTGGACCCCACATTCCAAATGGGCTCTTGCTTTTGTCTTAGGTGATGTAGGGAAAAAAAAAAAAAAAAAGCTAGCTTTCATCTTATGTATCTTAATATGAGTCAGGATCATTAAAAATGTTAGAAGATGTGAATCCTAGTGTACAGAGAGGAATGTTTTTAATGGTAACCTCAGCTTGATACATCCTGGGTTTTGCACATTATTGATGCTGTCCTTTGGCCAGTTCTGTACCATCTTTGATATTAACTGCTCTACTAACTATTATTAAATTTTTTCATCATAAATAATAATTTCTCATTATATCCCTTATCCAGAAAATGGCTTTTCAATAAAATGTAAAATTTTGCTTGATTGATCTGTTTTTATGGAATGTGTCCTACCTTTTCTAGTGATCTTTTAATCCATATCTTTATTTTTGTATATTTAAATATTTTGATCAATGGGGGTATCAGTTTTCAGATCTCTCTCTCTCTCTCTGTCTCACATGGTCCTTGTGTATATTATTTTTCAGCAGATTCTACCTTCCCTGATTTAATTACATTTCATTTAAGAAAAATTACATTCTTTTACAACATAATGCTGAACATGATTCAGCCTCCCTGTGGCTTCTTGGTCCAGGCCTAGTGTGCATATTGAATGACTTTTGTTTCCATCGTTTAATTCTTCAAGTTGTCTTTTCTCCTGTGTTAAATTTTATTAAAGCCAAGTCAAAATACTCAGTTGTGTTTGGGACATAGATTTGTTAGCTTTCACATCTTGGCTGATCTTTGTTATGTCCATTAATTCTCTCTTCAATTGCTTTATTTGTGATCAAAGTCTTGTTCAAATTTCTGATTTATTTTCCTGCCCTTTTTACAGTGTTCTGCGTATTTCTCCACCCTCTTTGAAGTCTGTCCAGTTGTGTCAGAAGTTCTGGCCTCTTTGTTTTTCCCTTGCTTTAGGATACAGATGGGTTTTGCTTCCTTTGACTTAATGAAATTCCAAGATCTTCTCCGATCTGAGTCCCCCAGCTCTTTGGTTTGTCTTGCTGGTAGTTTTCTTCATTTCGCTTCTCAAATGGAAGGCCTTACTCAAAGACTAAGTAGCTTTTAAGTTTGGTTTATCTTGCCATGGACTGTGTGTAATAAGTGCTCTAGAGGGTTAAGATCAGTAGAATTCTGTCCTTTTCTGTGAGCTTAATTAAGTGATTTCTTTATGACTATTTGTCATGTCCCAGCAGTGGAGGGACTGGGGGCTGGTACACATTTTCCATCCTCCTGGGAACATTCAGCAGAGATGTCCACCATAACCCTGTCCTAGAAATTTCTCATGGTCTTGAGGTTGCTTGTAAGGTCGGTTAATTGCAGCACTGATCTCCCTCTTCCTTAGCTGATCCATAGATAACACTCTTACCATCTTTAAAATAATCCCTCATCCTGCTGGAGCAGTCTGCAGTCAGATAAAGAGCTTCAGTTTGTCTCCCAAGTGTCATGGAGCTCTGCATGTTATCGAATAGATGTCATGAGCTGCAGATAGGCATGTGTCATTCATTTTGGAACTGCTTTAAAGTTACATGGCCACATATATTTGGTGTTCCAGCCCAGGTAATGAATTGTGCAGTTTATCTCCAGGGTAGTAACATCACAAGTTTCCACATGTGCTGCCATGGCCCACATGCCCATTTGTAAGTATTTGTTTTCTTTTTACAGAATAGCCAAAAAAAAAAATGGGACCTGTTGTTGTCACGTTTGCTCATTCCAGCATCTTCAGATCTCTTACTTTTCATCTCAGTGAATGGGCAAACATTGGCTCCCTTCTCTAAAGTGAAAGGCACAAAGCTCCAGCTAAAAATGGCTGTAAATTTTACATAAACATCGGAGACGAAAGTGAGAAGTAAAGCTGATATGACATGTAGTATGTAGTTTGAGGATTTTTCCTTGTAGGAATGAAATCTGTCTCTCTCACTCCTATTCACACTTGCAACTGCATGAGTATCATACAAGCTGTTTAATGTTTGACAGACTGTTTCAATTGGGTTATCCATTACTCTGGCACTTTTCTTATGGATTTGAAGCCCTCATTTATATGTAGAGGAAACCCTTTTTTTACCTTATACTTTATCTGTAGTGATGTATCACACATTGTTTTCTTCTAGTTCTTCCACCTGTTTTCCTGATGTTTATGTAGTTTTCTTTTAAATCCAGTTAGGATTTCTCAAGTAAAATATTCATGTGGGAGTGGGAGACTGTAACCAAACCACTTATTTTAATTTCCATCACTCTCCTCCTTTGTCTTTCTACCTGGCAATTGGAAGTCTGAACACTTTTTCTAGAAACCTTATGTGGGAAGAGACAACCTCGTATTTCTAATACTGACATAAAAAATGAGCATGAGACCTTAAGTGAAAGGTGTCAATTCTCTGTCAGGGAAATAAAATAAATCCACATGGCTTGAAGAAAATAGCAAATAGTTTTGCAATGAGTTGTGTACATTCTTGCAATCAGAGCTTTAAAAACAGACTGACTTCTTACTTAAAGAATTTAAGAATTGTGCAGAGAAAGTTGAGAGATTTGCGGCAGCCTAGCAAGAAGCCTTCCCTGCTTTGAGTTTAAAGATGGCCAAACTTCCCAGAGAAAGGAAAAAATGTGTCTGGTAGTAATGGAACAACAGTTATTTTTTGTCATTTACTGAAAGTTTGCAAATAAACTTGCACTTTCTGGTGGCTGGACAGAGTGTGGATATCTAAGCACGTACATTTACCAGCTTCATTCTGTAGTTAGGCTGAAGTTTAGGTGGGTTTAGTTTTGTGTGTTGGCATCTTCATATACGAGATGATTGTGCCTTACACAGTCAGTGCATACCTTTAACTGTATTAACCTGGCCTTGGGTTTCAGTTTTGGTTGAAGACAATGGAGTGTGTTTACTTAGAAGAATTTGGTCCTGATTGTTTTAAAATGGTGACTATTTTTTCCTGACCAGTCAGTACAAATAGAATTGCTTAGAGAATATATATATTTTTTTTTGCTTTAGTCTGTTATATCCTGACTTTCACAAATCAACCATTTCAGTCCTGATTCTTTCATTTTTATCTTGAAAACAGCCATTGCTTGTCTAGCTAAAGTTCAGTTTGTTTAATGAGTGTGTTACTCCTGCAGATAACTTGTCCTGGAGTGCAGCTGAAAGACAAACAGGAACTTTATCTCAGTGTCTTTGTACTTGGGCAGTACCACAAAACTGAATGTGTCCCTGCAGTGTTCCCACTCTTCTTTCAAGAAAAATTGGTATTTGAAAAGGTAAGATATGTCAAGGGCTGATACAACCCAAATAAACCCCATCACAAATTCCACAAAAACTGTCTGCAAAACCCATGAGCACAAATAATCACACTGAGAATGGAGCACTATTTTATCTCCTGCTTCTCTTTAGCACAGAGGAGGGGTGTGCCTGTATTATCCACATGGGGACTCAAGAATTGTGTGTACTGAAGATTCTAATGTATGATGAGACTTTTTAGGTATTTGTTGATTCTTTTGTGAACTGTCCTTCCTCAGTGTCTGTTTTCCTGGCTTGAAAGGGACTGAATGTTTTTGTTCTAAAAATTATGGCAAGGTGAAGAACAGGGACTGTACAATATAGAAGAGGCAACTTAATTTAGTAGAAAGATAAAATAGCAGCTCAAGCCTTTTTGGTGACATCTTACTCCCTTTGAGAGACTTTTTTTCATGGTTTGTCAGCAGAATTCCCAGATTGGTACTCTGGCCCTGTAATTTATAGTTGTTTATCACATATTCTGAGTCCCTACTAGCTTCATTATTAGTACCACAGGGATAATGAAACACAGTATCTTACAGATATGATCTGGCTTCTTCACTACCTATGAATAATAATACTTTACCCTTTCTAGTTCTTTTCCTTTAAGCATTCCCCAGCACTTTGAAAACCAGGCTGAGTAAACTTGCTCAGAGTGATGCTGTGGTGAAGGGGATGAGAAACAAACAGTGATAATTTCACTACCTCTGAAAAGTAAAAAAGACCATCATTCTTTAAAGGCAAACATAACATAAACCTCTTAAGGGGAATGTACTGAATGCTGTTTTCAGTGTAATGTAGGGGACCACCATCCAGTGCAACATCCTCCCCTGTTCCTTGCTGCCTATTCACACAGGATTCAGATTTAAAAAAAAAACCTGAACAGGAGACTGAAAAGTCACCTCTGTGAAAATGAAGCTTAAAGCATTACTAATAAATTAGAGAACATTGACCAATCAGAACTGTAGTGCATGCAGCAAAGTATGTTTCCCTCTTGAAATTTGCTTAGACACTGCTTGCCTTTACATCTTCTGTTCTTCACAATAAATTATATTTTATTATTTACATACAGAGAGGGAACTCTGTATGGATGGAAATTACATAACAAGAACTGCTGGCTTTCAATTAAATTGATCATGTTACAAATAATAATTTTAGTATCCTTTATTTTGCCAGTGGGGATATGACTCTTGACAACCATCTTGGCAAGGAAGAGCATTGATTTTTGGGGCTTTTTTTCCCTTTGCTTTACCCAAGAGGTCCATCTGATTACTTTGACTGTGCCATTATTATTATTATTTATTTTTCAGGAATTTGCTAATATAGTTGATCCTGGAGACCTTGTGAAGTTACTGGAGTGTAAGTTATGGGTTTTTGTATACTATGTTATATCTATTAATGCCATGCATATATGGGCTCTAAAGATGTTTTGGAGATTTAAAGTATGTGATAGTTTTTATATCAGGAGCCTGTTCTCTGAAAATCTGGTGGGTAACCACTATTATCTAACAAAGTCCTTCTAGAAATGTATGTTGCATGCTTTGGAACAGGAAAAGGGTAAAAAGTCATAAGTGACTGAAAGGCCAGCTGGTTATCTGGTAGTGGATTCCTTTATATGGTCATTTATTTGATTCGTTTTAAAATTATAGAAGGATAAACCTCCAATTTTTGTAAAGTTATTATTTTCCCTTTTAAAAAAATAGTATCTTGCTGCATGTGTATAATAATTGTGGTGAGAAAACACTGACCTGAACTCAAAATGCAGGAATATTCAGCCCCACATGGGAGTTATCTGTAAAGGGGGCAAAGCTTGCATAATCTTCTTTAAAATAGGAAACGCTTGGCAGTAGATAGAACTCACAAGTTCTAAGTTAGATTTAATGTTGTCATTTTTACCCTACTAATGCCATTGTGTTCATCTATAATATTTATGCAAGCTATACTTAATTTTATCTTATTATTGGCGTGGTGGAAATAGTGCGGAGATGTACAGTGCTGTGAAGCTTACAGCAGTGATTAATTTTTCTTGGGCTTTGACTATGTGAATTTTCATTCTAGGTTTTTTTTTAACTCACGAAAAACCTTTTTTCCCTTCTAGTTGACACAGCAGTACTTGAACTAATACAGCTCGTTCCTCCAGGTATTGTATCAGTCTTTTCATAAATTATGCAGATTAATAGGTGAATTTCCATGAGGACATTGCCCATTACAGCACAATCACTTTTTTCAACACACAAACAACATAGAAAGCCCTTCAACAAATAGTCCTCTCAATATAAAATGTTAATAGATCAAGAGGATCTCATTCTTAAACAAGAATAATAACTGAATATTTAAATGTATTGTACTCAGGCTTAGGAAAGTGATAATATTTTAAAAATGGAAAACAAACTGAAATCACCCATTGCATAATTATTAGCTGCATCACAATTCACTTCTAGAGAGGCTGTCTATGAAATTTCAGAGTGCATAATCTCGTTCTCAGAATGACACTTTTTCCTTCCATTTTAATGGTGACCATTGGGAAAACTGTTATCCTTGCTATAAGTATTACAGGTCTCTTGGGATGTGTGAAGATAATAAATAGCGATTTGTCATACTTCTGTTATTGGTTTGTGTGATTATAAAAATCTATTTTAATGAAATTCAAGTGTTCCCATGAATAATGTAAATCTGCATTTTATTGGAAATAAAGTCAAGTTTTAAAGAGGACTCGTTTGGAAACTGTGGTATTAAAAGCACTCTCTGTCACTTGTCCTTAGTACTTTCAAGGAAACCACTGCTTCTTTCAGGTGACTTAACAGATTGTTTACTTGAAGAAATGAAGTGAATGGGGATTTTTTTTTTTTTTTGTGGGAAGGTAAAGGATCTTGCATAAGAATTTATTTTCAGGGCTCAGACATAGGTGTGATACAGCGCAACATAAGCTAGCAAGATGGCTGCAATAGCACAAGTTACATTTTTTTCACAATATACATTCAAGGGTTTACCTCTAAAGGAAAACATTTTTTTTTAGAAGTAGGAAGCCAGGGTATTGAGAAAACCTTAAAATAATTATTTTGCTGTTGCTTATGTTTCTTTTTACTTCTACTATTACTGTTCTGTAGTATGGAATGGTTTTTCATAAGGGATTGGGTGCCATTAAAAAATACTGGTTTTTTTCTGGGGCATGGAAGGGAAAGAAGGAAGAAAAGTACTGAAAAGTTACCTGAAGAAAACCTTTCATGTGCCTGTTATAGAAGAGTTAACACAATCTTCTTTAATTTTTTTTCCGGTAACATTGAAACATAGTTTCACAGTAGATGCTGCACATTTTTGCTGCTGATTTAACTTGATGAGGTTATTTCCTAGTCCTATAGGAGTTTTAGAGCCATGCTGTTAATTTGTAAAGAGCAAAATTTATCCTGTTTCAACATGGCTCTGTGTGTAGTGTCTGTGCTGTGTGGCTTTGTCTATTTTCCAATTAAAGTATGTATTTTCTTTTTAGTGGGAAAAGTTCTAGCTACATATGAAGAAAATACAAGAGATTTCCTGTTCCCTGACCCTAAGCTTACCCATGGGCACCGTGGTTTGCAGCGTGAGGTTTTAATGAAGAGGTCCCCGTCTTTCACAGTGAGTGAATGTCTGTGGATTGTATTTATGACACAGTCTGCTTCACTGAAGAAACCCCTTGAACTGCTTCAAATGAAAAGCAATTACTTCTGACAGATTTTGCCATTTTAAGGTGTTGAATGTACAAATCCACAGTTGAACTTTGGGGAAAGTGTAATCTTTTTTCGAAATGCTTCAAGAAAATTATTTAATGTGGAAAAGTTAGTTTCCACTTGGTTTGCAGTGTGGCGCCATGACATGTCTCCATTCAGTTTAATCTGTGATGCAGCTGGTGTCTGAAGGGATGCAGGAGGTGTCATATTGACTTCATGGTTCTCAGCAGAAGCCATGTAACTCTCCTCCTTGGTCCCTCTCCATAGCATTTTGGAACAACAGCTAATTGGCAGAATGAGTGCAATGAATTAATGCTAATTTTCTGGAGATAAGGACTCAAGTACATGTTAAATGAAAATGAATTCATTTCACAATGCCCTTTCATGAAGTTTGACTGTTGAGTCTTAATTGTCAGCAGAATAACCCAGGAAGGCACCTTAAGGAGAATGGTGATGATGTGCTTTGAGGTTTTAGTAGAGTTTTACTGGTGGATTGGCAGGACATTTGGATAAGAACTTAATTACCCCGTCCGTTGTGGTTGGACTAAAAGCACATGGGAGGCGGGAAATGCTGATTAAAGTTCATTGTTATCTTTTAGCTGCTGTAGTCTTTCCCTGGAAAGGGCAACCTGGAAACTGCCCAGGCACTTGCAATTAGAAGTGCTAATTTGGTGTCTAATGCTGTGTTACATTTGAATGAATTAAAGTTGTGATTTTGTGCTACCAAATGTCTGATTCTGCAGTAGCTTAAACTGTCCATGGAAAAACAACCATTATTTTTTGGCTGTAGTATCTCTTTGATATGGCTCATCCCATGCATCGTGATGTGGCTCAAGAGATGGGGTGGGACTGTTTTGCTTTCATGCTGCTTACGGAATAGGTGCCTTCCTGGTGTTGAGAAAGAATAGTGAGGTAGGAACAAATGAAGTGGTATTAGCTAAGTGTTTTTAGATTTTTTTGTTAACAGAATATAGTGAGTCTTAAAGAAGCAGAGCTGCTAGACAAGTTTGATGGATTTTGTCAAACAGTTACTTGAAACAAAACTTACGTATTTTCTAATAAAGAGAAGGTGCCATAATTTGTGAGCTGTGAGAAAATGTGGTCAGGGTAATATGGATGTGTAGGTGATGAATAATGACACTGTAGTTAGGTTTAAAAAGTTGTCTGTGGTAAGACACGGACATACTTCCATGACCTTGCGAGCAGCATAAATGAAATCCATCTCTGCCCTGTAACAGGGACTGCAGAAGCTTTTGTTGCTCCATTCCATCTCCATAGCTTGGAAGTACAGTATAAGAAAGAATTTTGTCATAGTGGCCCCCTTTTCAGGAATAATGCAGAAGCTGAGTTTTATGATATTGGAAGGAGGTTCCCAAAAGGAACTTCTTGTTCCTCTCCTCGCTTGCTAAATGGAATTACTATGAAAGGATTTTTACCTCCAGTAGAAATGCAGTCTCAAGTGCTTCCATCTCCCAGTGTTCCCTGAGCTTTACTGGCAAGTGCCTCATGCTAAGTCTGTCAGCACGAAGTGCTGGATGTGGATGCTAAGCAAAAGGAAGTGTTAAACAAGGTCTTGAGAACCCTCACATTATTCCTATGCTACTGAAACCATGCTCTTCCCACATGAAAAGTTATTTATAGCCAGCTGTGATTCTGAATATTTTTGAATGGCAGCTGTGCTTCAGTGACACTTTGATACCCAGTAAATTTGTCTTTTATTAAAAAAATAAAGGTAGCAACAGTAAGGTTACAGTTGTGGAGTTCAGATAGGCAGTGACAAGCAGTGTCTGATTAACACTGTTAATCTGCCTGTTGGAAGGAATCCCAAGTTGAGAGGATCAAAACTCTCCAGAAATCTGGCACTTGGCTGATAATGTCCCTGGCTAAATGTCTTACAAGGTTTGCAAACTCAGTGTGCATACCAGACATGCCTTGAGTTATCTCTCCTGGTCCAGTCTTGCCCAGCTGAAGCTCTTGCTGGCTCTGCTGTATTTCTCTGCAACCTTTGCCTTTCAGAATATGTTTATGCCTGGACTGTGGTAGTGATTTCTTACAGATGTTCTTATCTCCATCCCCCACCTTTATGCAGTATTTGCCACATTACTTAAAACAGTTTCTTTTTAGCTGTGCTATCTTCTATTAACAGGCCAGTGTAAGGCCCTCTGTTATATTCCTATGTATGTTTTTAAGCTAGGGTTGTACTTGTGTTCCTCACAGTCTAAAGCACATATTAGACTTGTGTTCTTCTAAATATGAACCTTTATATTTTTCCTGTGATCAAATTGATATTATGTCCCTTCCGTTTAATGATTGGTGCAGAAATGCTCAGGGCTGCAGACAGCACTAAGCCAGAAGCAGAAGACATCCCAAAAACTTTCCAGCTGGATTTTCATTTACAGATGTGTTTGGGGCTATATGATGCTCTTTACATAATGCATAATAATTCATGATTCAATTTTACATGTTGAATATCCTACAGCAATCTCTGATTTGGGAACTGCAGGAAACAGAGCAAATCCTCTGATGGCTTTGGCATGTGAGTTGCTTTTGACATAGCCATGTCTGTGCATTCAAATTCCATCCCATATTCCCTCTCCACAGACTATTTCTCTGATGAAACCATAGTTTGTGTCATTTTTTAAGGATGAACACTTAACAATTTTGTAATCATTTCCAGTCTCTGTAAGAGCAGTAGGTGCTCTATTGTTGCATTTTATAGTAGACTTACTAATTCTGATGTGTCCTTTTTTAAATTGTTGATAGCACTTGACAATTCATTAGTAATAAAAATGAGTTGATTAAAGATGATCAGGCTTAAAACCTCTTTTATGTGCCATAACTTGACTTGATTGAATCCTGGACTCTGTTAATTGCTGAGACTGAGCTTTCTTGGCATTTTTGTCATTTGATTTCCATAATCTATCCTGGGGCCAGATCATGTTCCCTAATGGGAAATCAGTGTTTAGGCAGGTGGTAGAGAATAGTTTGGTTAATCAATAGATTTCACTTATGAAGTTCCTGCTAATTCTTATGGATGTGGGACAGAGTCACAAACAGACCCAGCTCTTTTTCATGTCTCAGTGATTTTGTGTGTTCATGTGCACAAATGCCTGTGAACTGAGATGCCTCAGGCAGCAAATTCTGTCCATGTTGAAAGAAGAGAGGGTAGAAATTTCTGGAGGCACTTGATTTTCTCTTGGATTCTGCAGAGCTATATAAAGGATGCACATAGACAATTGCCACTTCTTTATAGCATCTGTGGCATTTAGTTCTTTTATGCCTTTTTTAAAGCTGCTGTTTGGGAAAATAATGTTTGTGCGTTGTAATCTCTGTCCTTTACACCCAGTACATTCTATAATGCATTGGCCAATGCTCAGTGAATGGAAAGGCAGTAGTTTTCTGAGGTGTTATGTTCCTAGCCATGGCTGCAGTAAAAGGTGAGTGGAACAGAAGCTCTAATCATGTAAAAATGGAGGGATCTGCTGGCCATTACTGGGTGTGTGCTGTGCTTCACCAGGAGGCCCAGTGGGACCCCACTGATTCCACATGGGACAAACTAGAGTTACACCGTGGGCAGGAGGGGATCATGGGGGGGTGCAACATGGTTATGGAACAAGGGAGGCATCCAAAGACATCCAACTACTCCAAAGATTACTGAATTAAGGGTATTCTTAGTCATACTGTTAAAAAGGAATAGTTATTTGCAGTGTGATTGACTGATTAAACAAATGTTTTTACAAATCAGATGGCACAACTGAGACTGTTCTCAAACAAGTTTACAAAGTTAGTATTAGTGAAACTCCTAGAGCATGACTGAAATTTTTATTTATGCCATATAGCATGGCATGAAAAATCTTTAAAAGTGTTTTTGACCAGAAAAATATTAAAATAAAAAGTCAGACCTTAATTGTTGTACAAAAGCAGTGTAATCATGTGTAATTGAATTGTCAGAAATGCAAATGTTAGCATCTTGACATTTACCATTGCTGTTCTGTCTTTTCTAATTATCTTTATTAAAGGCTGAAATTAACAAAGGAAATGGCTGAAAATTAGGAATGGTTTGTTACATTAGGTGACATTTACCTCTTTGATACCCTTTATCTTGAGTTGAAGCTTGATGTGCAATTATTGTCTCTCTTCTAGGGAATTGCACCAAAATTGAGATTTTCTACAACCTGCCTTATTTCAGACAGTCTGTTAGTCTTAGGAAGGAGTCACATACAGGTTAGAACAATTTAATTGTTTGCAATTTCTAGATTTAATATTGATAGCCTTGCTTCCAATTTTTGCATGTGCTGCTCACTTCAAACTTTCCTCATTCTTTTGTTGTGGTTAGAGCAGGTATCATGGGTGCTTGACAACTTGATTAAATTTTTAATCAAGTATGAGTAAAGAGTGGGTTTGGTGCATGACAGTAGATGCTGAGAGTTCCTTGAATCTGAAACAATTATCAGCTGGTGTGTTCTATGATCAGCTGAAGTGTCAGTCCCTGTAGGATTTGTGTATGGGAAAATGCCTTCTCACCATTTGTTACTGACACTTAAAATTAAGGACAGTGGAAACGAGGTGAAGTTAGAGAAGGTACATTATTAAACCAAACTAATTAATTTAATTGTTTTCCATCACTGTATCACTGACAGTAATGGAAATGCAGATTTTTGTTGAAAAGGCTGTCACCTATATTAATCTGGAAATGCTGCTTTTGCAGCAAGTAAAGTAAAAGGTGAAGTAGCACTCTTCTCTGGTCTCACAGACTGGAATTTTGGTTTGGATTTCTGGCACAAGCTGTCATATAAAGTTATTCTTATGTCCTCCTTTTTTTGCTGTAATATTGAAAAATGGTGCAGCATCATTGAAAGGATTGGTTGCCTGGAAGGCTTGTGTGCAAAGACACTTAGGAGACTTTGACTTGTTGATGGCATTTCTAATGACTTCAATGAGAAATTTTTTCCAAATTTAGCAAATTAAATGTATCAAGACAGAAAAATAATTAAAAATCAGTGAAAATTGTCATTGTCAAAAATGTGGCTTCAGTGAAGGTAACTTGAATAAGGGCAATTTGATTTAAAATCTAAACCATTCCTAAAAGTATCTATGAATGGCAGCTCAGATTTGCTTGTCCAGTTTCACAACTGATGTAAGCTAGGAGCAGCACCACCTGCTTCTGATGAAGCTGGATTAGTCTTAGAGAATTAGGTCTGGCTTTGTGTGGCCAGGTCTGTGCTGTGTCTCGCTTATCAGCTGCACCAGTGAGTTCAGATTCTGTCAATACAAAACAAACACGCAGCCTCAGCCTCACTGCCTGAGTGTAAAGGGAAAGGCTTGAAGGCAAGGTGGACATTTTATTTCTGGGTTCCTCTGAACCAAAGCGGTCCATGTAACACTCACATTTACGGCTATTTCAAGCTCCAGCTTGAAAAAGAATTTCTAACCGAAAGAGTATTATTTTTCTCCACTAAACTTTACACTTTAATAAATTCACTATAATCCAAGGAAATACAAATTCTAGAGAATGAAGTTGCACTTCTTTTGGAGCTTTAGGCAACTCTAAATGCATATAATTTAAACTATTAAAAAGGCTCCTATTTTAATTTATGTCTTGTATTTTAAAGTGTAAGAATTTTAAAATAAAAGCTTAAGCAGATGAAAATATGCTTCAAATCTGTGTATGGCTAATTCAGGTAAACTTTGTATTAAAGGAACTTGTGACAAAATGCAATTTAATTTTTAGAATCTC